AACAACAACAACCCTGCCCCAGCTGTTGGCGAGGGCTTGCATGCAGCCCACCAGGCCATTCTGCAGCAAGGGGGACCGGTTGGATTCCAGCCTTACCACAGACCCCTCCGCTTTCCATTCAGGGTGAGAGTGTTGAAAATGTGCCACCACACGCCCCGGCTGCAGTCTCTGTATTACTGATGATTTTCATTTTTAAGTCTGCACTCGTTATTTTTCAAGCAATTTTTGTTACATGTTACAATTATTAGATATATTGATAGCAAAAAATACATTACCTTTTACAATGCTTTCTGAGAGGTGCATTAGCAAGGCTACTTTAGGATGCTAGTACATTTTTTTAGTACCTTACTAGTTAATGCTATCAACATTTATATTGATAGCAGAAAACTGAGTTTACTTCAGTCCAAATATGTTATAACTGACTATAAAAATGGTCTGTAGACATTTTTTCTTGAAGTCTTACTTAAGAGAAGACATACTATGGTCACCTATAATTAGTGGTTGTCCTCACAAATTTAGAAACGCATAAGGTACCACTTACCGACGACTGATGCCTTAATTCTCAGCTCTCAGTTATTACATCTCTCTTTGAAGACTTTGATGTGCATGAGCACTGTTATATTTGTCTCACACATTCCAGATATAGTTCATGAAATGTGCTAATCACAATTCTACAGTGAATGCAGTCAAATATTTTCACTCTTGATTACGTCACTACATTCACTTGTTTTCTGTAACTTCTGTCTTCTTCTCCCCAGATTGTGTTGCTCATAGCGTTCATGTGCATCACTCTGCTTGTGGCGAGTCTGGTTTGTCTAACCCTACCAGGTAAGATTTGGCTGCTGAAATTACAACCTCTTTTTTTTTTTTTTTTTTCTTTGAAGTCCCACACCCAAACCATAATTAAAGGATACTCTAAAAATATACTCCTGTCTCTGCTGTATTTGTGGTTTTCTTTTTAAGTGCAAGCTCAGATTGTAATTCAATTCCTTGTCCAACAACAGTTTAGAATGGAACAGTTAAAATAGTAGGTGTATCATGTCTTATAACTTTTGTGTTTCAGTGTTCACTGGGCGCTGGCTGATGTCCTTCTGGACAGGAAGCTCCAAAATCCACGAGCTGTACACGGCAGCCTGCGGACTTTACGTCTGCTGGCTGTCCATCCGTGGGGTCACTGTGCTGCTGGCCTGGATGCCCCAGGGACGCACTGTCATATTCAACAAAGTCCAGGAGTGGACACTCATGGTGAGTATCAATGAGCAGGCTTTATGGTTGGTCAGTATGGTTATTAGTTAGTAATTCCAGTATTTATTTATCTTTAATGTATTCCCTATCTTTGTCTGTATAGATTCTGAAGACCCTGGTTGTAGCTCTGCTGGTTGCTGGAGTCATCCCTCTACTGCTGGGCCTGCTGTTTGAGCTGGTCATTGTGGCTCCACTCAGAGTTCCCCTAGACCAAACCCCCCTCTTCTACCCTTGGCAGGTATGATTATGAGTCTTTGTTGTGTTGGTTTATATGTATTTTTTTCTGCCCCAATCTGTCTAGCTCTTTTTTTCTTTAGCAGTTTATGGTTGCCTAGGTGTGTGTGTTATGCCTTGACTCTTGTTTGTTTTACGTATCATTTACCCATGATTCTCAGCTCTTAAACCCATGTCAATCCATTATTCACTCTCTGTTATCTACAGGACTGGGCTCTGGGAGTACTCCATGCCAAAATTATCGCTGCTATCACTCTAATGGGCCCTCAGTGGTGGCTCAAGACTGTGATCGAGCAGGTGGGTGTTAGATTGATACTGATTATTTATCATGTTTTACTAACAATATAATAAACTTACGAAGCAGCATTTCCTCTATAAATATGAAGTTGATTTGAGTATTTTTCCAAGAAAACCACAAATGTGTGAAGATAATCTTTCTTGTCAGTTGGCTTTTTACCTTCCTTGTTTGCTGTATAAAGAAATGAGCAGCAGGGCAGACGAGTGTTCAGTCAGATCTTAAAATGGGAACAAAAAGCTCCCTTTTTCCAATAACACTGTAAATAAATCAACAGTTTAATGAATGCAAACTTTCACCTTAGGTTTACGCAAACGGGATTCGCAACATAGACCTGCATTTCATCATCCGTAAACTGGCAGCTCCCGTCATCTCAGTTCTGCTGCTGTCACTGTGTGTGCCGTATGTGATCGCTGCCGGGGTGGTGCCAACTGTAGGTGAGTCTCTGAGCACATGTGAATGTCAGGTATAATGTGTATAAGTTTATATGTTGTACGTTTCCTTTTTGTGTTCATTTCACCTACTGAGCTGATGAGCTTTAAGGCAAAAGTGGTGCACCACAGGGAGAAATATCAGTATTTTTCCCTGGATTTTTGCTGAGTAATGCTTCCAATTAGCCGTGCAAGGGGAGTGAAGTACCTGTCATGTCCCCTTAGATCACTGACAGTTTCCATTAGATTGTGAATTTGAAGGAGTAACAAAGTAAAAGCAAATAACAAGATGTCCCAAAGATATTATGTTCCGTCTGATCTCGGATGAATGTTAGAGTGACTAAAGTATCAGCTAATGGGACGTTCGCTGCCACAATTTCTAACTGAAGTGCATTATTTTGGCAGGAGTGACCCCAGAGATGGAGATTCTAATGCAAAGGAGAATCTACCCCTTCCTCTTGATGATCGTCTCCCTCATCGGCATCCTGTCCTTCCAGATCCGCCAATTTAAACGCCTTTATGAACACATCAAGAACGACAAGTAAGGATTTTTTTGATTCGCTAATTGGAGTTAAAGTTGTAGTTTGTCAAGATTTAACTTCAGGGCCAAAAAGGCTGAAATTGTTAAGAATCAGAATATTAATAATATGGTAATCTCTCTCTACAGGTACCTGGTTGGACAGAGGCTTGTCAACTACGAACGCAAAGCTGCAAGAGCAGGCTTAATCCCACCATCCAACCCTGTGGCAGAGTAGATTTGTTTTGGTCACATATTGCCACATTTCTTTCACCTGTTACTCTGCGTACACCCCATCTCCTCATCCCTATCCCCCTCCCCCTGCATTTGATTTTCAACTCGCTTCTTGGACCATAATCCTTTGAAATCTCCCCTGGATCTTGGTGGATTTGATGGATGTCGTACAATTTCTCGAGTTTCCCTTTCATACCCATCACTGGTGGGTTGGGGAAAATGTATTATAATCATGGGACAGCTGAGTCATCAACCCCCCTCCAAAAACAGACAGGAGTAGGCAGGAGGGCGAGGGTTCGAGGTTTGATATGAAGCTCAACATCTGTATTGTCGTTCATGCCTTGCTTTGTAAAGTGCTGCCTGATAATTGTACATGTGTAAATACTTTGAACGCAGACTTTGTCTTTAAGGAAAAGACACGTGGATTAATGCAATGACCATTGTACATCTTAAAAGTGTATGTATAATTTATTAAATCAAACTGACAATTTATCTATTTTGTTGTCTGGTTGACGGGTTAATGGTGGGTGAATATAAGACCCACACTCCATGAATGTTTGTATTCAAATCTGTGTTTCAAGATACTTAAAGCTCCTGTGAGGAACATTTAGTTTGTGTTGAATTTGGCGCCCCCTGTGGACAAAGTAATATGTTTCAACTCTATGTTGTTCTTGACCTGTATTTGTGTAAGTCATGTTTTATGACAAAAGAACCCCTCCTGCTTTCATTTAATGCTCAATCATTTTAATATAAATTCAATATAAAACATAGCACTCGCTGATCTTGGCTGAGGAAAATGAAAACAAGTGTGTATAATGTGTATAGTGTATAGTGTGTAAAATAAGTGTTTCCTAGATAGTAGATTGCCTTGTGTGGCACCTAACCCCCTCGAGAGGTTTCAGGTTTTAAAAATAACAATATAGAAATAGTCTTGTCCCAACTGGCTTTTGTAGAGACATCAATACTAATGTCAGTCAGTTGTATAACTCTTTAAACTCTCCTCACAGGGGCTTTGAAAATCTTGTATTGCATGCATGATTCATAAAGTGTCTGCAGATTTTTCCATGATCAGTACATGGCAGGCGGTGGTGTGATATCCTCATCCTTTGGTATCAGCGGAGATTTAAGTACAACTCCGAACTCCACTGCTAGAACATCTGGGATCTCTTCATCTTTGAGTTGCATGGTGGTCGTTTCAAACCCTTTGTCCTCAGTTGGATAGGTGGTGCTGATCAGTCTACGGCCAATATAGGTGAGCCTACCTCCTGGCTTTAAAATCGTGCAGACGGACTTGCAGTAGAAGATTGAGCAGGGGGAGCTTTGGTGATACTGGCACAGCTCTGCAAAGTCCTCCAGGCACCGAGGTTCAAGAGTAAATTTGTAGATCTCTGTCCAGTCTCCATCCGTCCCTCTGTTCTCCTCCCGCTGCCACTCCAGGAAGTGCATCCTCTCCACCTCTCTGATCCGGTACACACGGTGGCCTTGCTCCTGGGGCCCGCTGGTCTCAAGTGAAAGTGGGTCACTAAATCCAGGCCCACCGAACCCGACGTCGCAGAGCCAACGCTTCCCATCCAGGCTCACCATGAGGACCAAATGGTCAAAAGGTGGCCCGTAGAAACCGGTCTTCAGACTCTTCACCTGAGCCGAGAACAGTGTCACCTGGAAACCCAGTTTGCACAGCAGCCAGGAGAACAGGCCGTTATTCTCAAAACAGAAACCCCCTCTGCGCTGGTTCACTATCTTGTCGTACAGAAGAGGGGGGTCTAGTTCCACATGTCCGCCGCTGTGCACCGTGAGGTTTTCAAAGGGCACCGACAGCTGGTGGCCGCGGTGAAGCGACCGGAGGACGTGCAGGCTCGGCTCGGCTGGCCCACAAAACCCAATACGAGCTAGATATGTCTTCACGTCCATCTCAGCGGAAGTCATTGTTGCTGTTTTTTTTTTTTTTTTTTTTTTTTTTTGTGAAATATGTTCGCTGCAAGTTTGTCAGTAACGAGCACACACCAGTTTCCCAACTTCTCCTATTTTCCTCACCGCTTTCTTCCTGGTGTTGGATCACCGATGTGATAAGTTACGTCGAGGGCAAGCTCAAAGTACATCGCACTGAAGTCACTCCCTACCTCATGACAAGTACGTTTTTATTAAGGCCTCTAGATGTAATGGTATGTGTTGACTTTAGAGACTTAGATTGGCAACGCCTTGTAAAAAACGCAGCCTTGAAAAGGATCTGCACTTTCCTCATTCCTCCTAGTCTATTATTCATTAGTCAAGACTATTTTGTGTCAAATCTTTCTTGATGCCAGACGGACCTCCATTTCTAATCTATTTGTCCAGTTAGGCTTAGAGAAGTTAACAGGCATGGCAAAATAGATACTAGACTATAGACAACTATTATATGATAGGCTGTATAAAGACATGGCCTAATTCATTTAAAACCTAAATATCAATTATGACATCACATTTTGCATCGACTTTTTTTTCCTCCTACTGAGAAACAACTGAAGTAGTCCAGTCTAGGCTGTAAATTCACTGAAAAGCGGAGTTTTCATAAAAGGGAAGAAAATAATCGATATATTTTATTTATTTATTTATTTATTTACGTATTACACAGAGCGTTGTTCGTAATAACCGCACATTGCTTCAATTAAAAATATTAATCCAAAAAAACCATCTTTACTTTTTCAGACCTCCCCTATAGTGTCATTTCGCTGACGTGACGTCACACACCGACACTCCCTTTCCCCCAGTAGAGGGAGAAAGATGGCGCCCACACACGTACTGAGATGCTGTCAACGGGGTCTAGCATGGATACCTGTGATTTTTATCGCCCTGGTCGTCTGCTGGTCGTATTACGCTTACGTGGTGGAGCTTTGTATATGTGAGTAGACGTCCTCCCGCGGGTCTGTTACCCCATTAAGTCCTTTTTAAACCGCAGATGTTTTGTGCTGCTGTCCACACAAACACACACAGCTGCTGCTGCTGCTGCTGCTGCTGGCCAGCAGGAAGTAAATGGACTGCAGCTCAACAATGGTGTTGGCAAGGCTGTCCAAATCTAGATACTGCTAATTATTATCTGTGTGCTGCCATCTATTTTGGGGTTCGCCTAATTTTAATGGAGAATTTGTTTTGGACAAAGAAAAACTTTCACAGTGTTGTTAATATTGTTGCCCGTGTTTCTCTTGTGTTGCTTGTTTTGTCGAGATGAATGGAGTCTGGATGGAGAATTAAACAGCTAACAAAACGACACTTGGCTTGGCTGTCTACATAAATACTTTCCTCTAACTAGCCACTTGGTAATAAGCTAATTCAATTTAGAAATCAACTCTTGCAAAGTGTGGATTTGGCAGAAGAGTGTTTGATTAAAACGGTAGAAGATATTAAACAGAATTGCTAAACCGAGGGGGGGGAGGAAAATCTTTTTTTTTTTTTTTCCATGTTTGAACATTGAACAAGTCTTCAAATTCTTCAGAAAACCCTCATTAGATGAGATGTTGTTCTTTAGGATGAGGGTTTTATTTATTTTAGTGCAAGGCAATCCCATCCATATGTTTGTATAGTGCTTCCCAACCTAATTGTTGAATTGTCATTTGATGTAGGAAATGTGTTTTTAATCCTCTAATATGTGGCTTTGTTTGCTCCTGAGTTGTGTGCAGGTATTTTTCTGAGTTTATCATCTTAAATTTGAAAAAAAAAAAAAAGAAAAAGATACTACTAGTAACTATTTCTGACCGATGGGTACATATTTTTACTTCAAATTTCAGATATAATTAGGATCATTAGGATTGTTTTTCTCTTCCGTGGGAAAAACACAAAAAGAGAGACTAATTAATTCCTGGCGTAGTTAACACAAATCTCCTTAAAAGATGAACAATAACAAGTCCTAAAAGTGCTCAAGAATGGAAATGTGTTAACTCTCAATGTGGAGAAGGGATGTGTTACACGACAGAGCTTCAGGAAAGCCATTGAATTGAACTTGTGTAATTTGTACTTCTAATTATATTCTTATCTCTGTGATGATTTTGTGAATATATCCTGGGATTCCTTTTTCTTCCTTATCTAACACGTTTGTCTTCTCTATTTGTTGTCTTTCAGTCACCATCCCCAGTATAGGAGAGCAGAGTAAGTGTTTTGGGAATGTTTATTTAATACATCGTGATTGGAAATGTACTGGACTGCGCCAGATTGCTACTTATCGAGATAATCTCTATGAGGTCCGGTGAAATATGCTCTGTACACTTAGCTAAAAAAAAAAAATAAAAAAAAAAAGGCTGGCAAAGACAGAAATCTTGATCTCTCAAACTGCTGAGGTCAGTAAGCTTGAAGCAGAGCAGCACCTCATTCAGCATTTGTTTCCGCTCTCATTAATTTGAACTTTGTAGACGTTCAGTGGTTCCACATATTGGCAGCTTCAAATCACTTACATATCAGACTGTATGCTGTTGGTCCTGATGCTTTGCTTTATGTTTTCCCTCCAGTTGTCTACCTGATCTTCTTTCACCTCTCTTTCGTCATGTTTGTATGGTCTTACTGGAAGACCATCTTCACCCAACCTGCCAACCCCTCCAAAGAGGTATAACAGCACGTATTCTCCTAAACCAAAACACTCATCCACCTTAACAAAGAATCAATTTGAATTAAAAAAAATATATGTTTTCTGTCCGTTTCTCTTTAGTTCTGCCTGCCAAAGGCTGAAAAGGAGCGTTATGAGAAGGAAGAGAGACCAGAGTCTCAGCAAGAGATCCTATGGAGAGCTGCTACCAGTCTGCCTCTGTACACCCGTACAGGAGCCGGAGGTATGTGTGTATGTGTGTTTGTGTGTTTGTGGTGTGTGTGAATGGGATGGAATTTGTCTGTTTGCATCTCTATGTTAGAGCAATAATGAGAAACTTTTGTGTTGACATGATGCAGCAATCCGTTACTGTGACCGCTGTCAAGTCATCAAGCCAGACAGGTGTCATCACTGCTCCGCGTGTGACATGTAAGAAACCCTTACGTTTTCAGAGTTCTCACTTTGAAAATAAACTTGAAACGATATCTACTGTTATTTAATCCCTCCACTCATTTCTCTTTTGTGTGTGCAGGTGTGTCTTGAAGATGGACCACCATTGTCCGTGGTATGTAACACCTGCGACTGAAACAGATTTACTTTACTTCCTTGTTTTTACTCTGACTTTAGTCCACATTTCATGCCAAGTATATTTGCAACAGGTCTTTCAATCTGTTAAACAATAACCCATTGTTCTTTCACTTTTTTTGATCAAGTCAAGATTGTAACAATAGGAAGGGATTAGGGAATAGGATGTTTTTTAAAGGCTCATCTTGCAGAAAGACACGAGGCCAAAAATCCTTAAAAGCAGGAGCTGAATTATTCCCCATGGAGCTTTAATTAATGGCTCGTTTTATTGCGTTTTAGAACATGGATTTGCAACTGAAAGTGAAAGTGAAAAAAAAAAAGATCAAGATTGTCAAACTTAACAGACGTTTGCGCAAAAAAAAAAAAAAAAAAAAAAAAAGCAGTCATTTGGTTTCAACCATAGACTGGATAAAAAGATGGATGACATGACAGTTCCTTTAAAGTGAAGCCAAAACATTGGGACATTGTAGAAAAAGCCGCTTTCGACAAGGTTAGGTTGCTGCCTCAAGACAAACAGTCTAAAGTTGTCCCATTATTATTTCTTTTATCATATTATTTTAGAGTTCAGCCTCCCAAGCGTCCATTCACATGCTACTATTTCTACATTTGATTCTCAAGATTTAAATGTAAGGGTTGCATGCTCCCTCCAACTTCTTTAAATCAACTAACTCTTGACGGTAAATTCTGTTTCATAAAATGTTAAAAACTCCTGTCAGTACATTTATTTTTGGCCTGATGTTACCATGAGAATAACAAAGCCTTTAAAAGTTCAGCTTGATAAGGTTTGTGCTCAGAGGAAGTGATGTCAGGCCTGACCTTCTTGCCTTTGTGTGTCTGCAGGGTGAACAACTGCGTCGGTTTCTCCAACTACAAGTTTTTCATCCTCTTCCTGGCCTACTCGCTGGTGTACTGTTTGTTCATTGCAGCCACCGTACTGCAGTATTTCATAAAGTTCTGGACAGTGAGTAATGGCGTGAATGTGAGAGGATGAAGAGGATGCAGATTCGGTTGCATGGGTTGAGTTGTGCGAGCATCCTCCGAGTGTGTTGTGCATGGTGCTAACCGCTCCACTGTTTTTTCCTCTGTCCTCTCTGACCTTCCAACCCCTCTCTCCCACTTTTTCTCTCTCTCTCTCTCTCTCTCTCTGTTTCCCCCCCTTCTGTTATCCCCCGTTCTCGCACACTGCCTCATTGTTCTCTGATCTCTCTCTTTTCTGTCTCCGGCTATCCAAACAATCAGTCACACCACTCACTCATGCGGTTGCAAACACCTCCTCTCTCCTTTCCTTTTGATTTCCTCTCATCTTTTTCCTCTTTCATCCCTTTGTTCACTCCATTCTGGGCACACTTTGTACACTCACCCATCCTCTCAACCTTTTATTTCTCCCTCCGTTCACCAGACTTGGTCTTGACTCTTACTTGCCTGCTCTTTTCCAAGTGCTTCCTCCCCCTCCCACCTTTCTACTCTCCCCCCGGTGTTGCTAACCAGTCTCGTTTCTGTTTGTACTAAAGCTTTGCCGGAGGAAATCGGCAGAGAACTGCCCAAAGGTAACCAGCTGTCCTCCAAAGCCTTTAGTGTTGCCGTACCTCACCATCATTGCCATGGTTTCTGTAGTGATGTGCGTGCAGTGACGTGGTTCACCTGTCTCTTATCATTCCTCTGTGACTGCCTCTCCCCCCTCCGTTTGAGCTTTCTCTCCTTCTTTCCATAAACATCCGCGATGTGGATTTGTTAATGATTCCTGTCTCGCTCTCCTCTTCTCCCGTCTCTTCCCCAGAATGAGCTGCCAGACACTCACGCCAAATTCCATGTCTTGTTTCTCTTTTTTGTGGCGGCCATGTTCTGCATCAGTATTTTGTCCCTCTTCAGCTACCACCTGTGGCTTGTAGGAAAGAACAGGTCCACTATAGGTAACAAACGCACACTTATTCAAAATATGTCTCTGTCTGAGAACCAGTCCAAAAACATGTATTTTCTTCAGGAACTGATTTTGACTTTTGTTAACACGTGTTTTAAACAGTGTTCAGATCTTTTGATGATGTAAAACTTGTGGTTTAACGACCTCTGATTTTGTTCTTCCAACTTGCTCCCGTCCTGCAGAGGCTTTTAGAGCACCTGTATTTAGGACAGGATCTGATAAGAATGGCTTCTCTCTGGGATTCCGGAAGAATATCGCTCAGGTGTTTGGAGACCAGAAGAAGTACTGGCTGCTGCCAGTCTTCACCAGGTAAAAGGGAATAATGTAGAATCCAAGATAGAGGAAAGAGAGTACAGCTGCCTGCTTTCTACTGAAGATTTTCTTCATAATAAGTCATATTATCAAAGCATTTATGGGATATTACTGGTAATTTGATTATTTAAAAAACTTCACTGAATGGTTTGAGCTCCAGGGCTGAAAATCATTTGTATCATTTAGAATATTTACCTCTGTTTAAGACTGATTGAATACCACAGTATGAAACTCGTCAATAATACATTTCAAAAGCACACTCACAGATCAAGCTGTTTGCAAAGGGCATTTTGTGTATTTATCTAGTCGTAGTCTAACAATATTCCTCCACATTCCTTGCTCCTAGTTGTGGTTTTCAGATATGTGATGTTGTGGTGATGTTTCATGAAACAATTAGGGGTACACACTCAGTTGATATACACCCGCTTTACTTGAACCGGATGTCATCTGGACACTTTTTTGCTGACTTTTGTAACCTTAAAACCTTATTTAACTCACACATAGGGGAGATTCACTTCCCAAAAAAAACCTGCCAGACTAATCACACGCTTATGTTACCCACAAAACCAGTTTCCTTAAAGTGAAAGGCTCAGCCGCTAACAGACAAACGACATGGGCTTATGCAAAGCTGGTGGACTAAGACCCTTTCAATCGACTATTTCTTAGTTAACTATTGGAGGGGAGTTCAGGTGTTGTCACATATAGCTAGTTCACGCTATGAATCGATTATGTTATCCTGCAGGTAAAGCTTGACTGATACCTAAAGGGAAAAAGCAAATCTTCTCTTCCTTTTTAAATATCAGGTTCACTTGATTGCTGTTCCAGTGTGTTGCCCTACAGGCTAACTGCACATGATCTTGACTTCCTCCTGTCCTCATGTCCACTACAGTCAGGGAGACGGTCTCACGTTTCCTGCGCGGCTGGTCAACGCTGATGTAGAGCAAGCCACAGTCAACCTGCATCCTGAGCCTGATAAAAGGTGAAACAACTTTATTAGACACGAGGCCCTGAAAAAGTCTCATGATTTGGAAGAAGTTTGTTGATGCACATCCCATTGGGCTATTCAATTGGAGGGGGTTTCTTTTCTATCCATTTTTATTGTTTATTTAATTGGGGTTTTCAGTGCTGCTGAAGTTCCAGAGAGCCCCCTCAGTGACTCACAGAACCGCCTCCTGAGCAACGACCAGCATGCCAACAATGTCGGAGACCATCTGGCTAACAACACCCTCAAATCAGGTGAGAGAGAGAGAGAGAAAAAAGCTGTTCACTGCTCTTGTACCACTAGATGTTGTAGCCTAGTGCTGACACTAGCTGTTAGCATTAGAGCGACTGTTACCTGTCAAGAAGGAATAGGGTAACTTCTGTATGGCTTTCCTGCGCCTTACACTCTCGCAGGTGTCCCCATCTTTTAAAAAGAAAATGCCAGCATTGACCCTTCAGGGCTTTTCTGTCCTTTTTTTCTTTTTGACTTACTTTGCAGTATATTCAAACGAGGCAAAGGAGGTACAGGAAATTGACCACAAGCCGTGACAGAAGTTACATAGAAGTGGAATGATGCTAGTTTGTAAAAAGTCACTGTGTTTGGCTATTACTGTGCAAGCCTAAGCCTGTTAGTTTTTTTGGATTTCATCCTGGAAGTGGTTTAACATGGATCAGACACACGTTCCCATTTCAGTTTAATATTGTCACTGACATCATGCAGTGATGAAAATGTCTTATTCTAACCACATTTTCATGAAGTGTTGTTGCCTTCTGGAGCTTTACTTGCTGTTTTCTATCTCTGACTTTAATTGCATTTTGTTCACAGCTGAAAGTGGAACCATCACAATCTCCATGGAGAGCGAGTCTTAACCAGGTGAAAATAAAACCTGTCAGTGTGTGTGTGTGTGTGTGTGTTGTGTGTGTGTGTGTGTGTGTGTGTGTGGGGGGGGGGTTCATTACATAATTGTGTAAATAGTCAGTGTGACGAACAGCAGTGTATCTAATCACTCGGTTTTTTTTCACCTCTCTGCTGCAGGAGAAACTCCTGACGTCTAATACGATGCCTTAAGAAACGCAACAGTTTAGTGTGTCCCCATGGCAACAGTCAGACCCTTCAGAGTAACTATGGAAATGCATTTCCCATCCGTGGTGTTGGCATTTTTTTCGCATGCAGTATCATTAGCAAACCTCACACCTACCTACCCCCACAGGACATGTGATCAAGGCTGGTTCCCCCTTACACACATACACACACACACACACACACACACACACACACATGCTAACACTTAATTATAAACATATTTTCTTGTGTTATCTTTTTTTCACAAAGCTGGAGCGTTTATTGCTGATTAGAATATTGAAGAATCCTGGAGGAATATGATCTCTTTTTGGTGTTTAATGTGCCAAAAGCATAATTTTCCCGGCACACAGCTGCAGTGAAGAGTGGGGGACAAGCTGGAGCATTTTTGTTTGTTTGTTTTGAATATTATTCTCCTATTTTCAAAAAGAAAGGCAGAACATCCTGAGAAAATGGCTTTGCCTACTACCTGCGTGACTTGTTATGTTTTTCGTTTTTTAACTCATAATGTTGGAGCATATCCTCGGTCGGCAACGTTTTTGAGATGGATTTCCCCCGTCAGAACGTGGACTGTCATACAGAGGACTCTACCGCAGGGAAGACTGTAGCTGGGTTCGGGACGTTTTTGGAGATCAGAGCACAAGATGGCACATTTGCACTTTGTCGATTATCAATGTCCATCAAACAACGTGCTGCTGCTTCTTCTTTTCTTTTTTTAAAAAGTCATGTCCAAATGTATTGCAGATGTAACAGATGTTGGATGAGCATGTGATTTATGGCGTTTTTCTTTGTGGGCGTGAATGTGTTAACAGTTGAAGTGGCTGCGTTCTTTTCTTTCCTTCAGAACTAACAAACAAATCAGCTTTATGTTTATGTTGTGGTCAACTTGTGTTCAGAGATGCTGCTTAAACATGGAGACATTTACCTGAGAGATATATTTCACACAGTGCAATGTGCAGCATCCAACTCTACCTGTTATCTCGGTGTCAGTTATGTGTGTGATTCTATGCCCACAGTGTCCACATCCTGTTTTTTCTACAGCTCAGCACTTCAACCTTTTATTAAGACAACACTCATTGCCAAATAAGGGCTCAGAACCTGAAGTGTTTACAACATCGTAGCTTTATCTTCACAGGCCAGTGTCATCATAACCAAATTCTAGTCTTTGTGGCACAATATTTTATACAAGTTACACCTGTCCCTCCTGCCTGTCGATGGCCATGATGTCGTTGCGTTAGCAGTGTTTGGCCAGCAGGTGGCGACCTCATCTGCCCTGATTTTTTCTGACCGTCATGTGGCTCAGTTCAGTTCACTTTCAGTTTAATTTTCAAGTTAATTTCCTTCAGAACTAAATATTTTTTTAATATTGACATAGTCTACAATATTTTCTTCTGAATCCCTCATGTTTAATTTAAAATGAAAGTGAATTGAAGCCATCTGATCTGCTGTGAAATTAGAGGTGTAGAGTAGCTTCTGTTAACTGTGTCTGC